CTGTGGTTGCCGGTAATTATAGTTGCCCTCCAACATTCGATCATTTTTGTATTTTTGGACTAATTTTTTCGCATCGGAGATGGCAGAATATTTTCGTGCCCACTTGTTTGTTGTCCAATTTCTTTGCTAGTACATAAGTGTGCTCTAGTGGTTGAACAATAGCACTCCTGGGCACTCCATAAGCATCACTGAGCCTTTATTCCTTATCTTGGCATTATTTTTTCGGTCCCTTTTTCTGAAATGTTGGTCAAAACTCATTAAGTGATTTCTCTCTTCAGATTACGAAAATCTCAAAATCTTTCAGTGTTAGCACTGCCAAGTGCAAAGGCCGTTCTTGACTTCATGAAAAAGTTGTTTTGTGATGATTTCCAAGTTGCTCCTGGAAGCCGAGTGGATAGTTTGATTGACGTCATTACGGAAGTAAGCTTTATCATACCGTTCGTTACTCGTTTTCTAACACTTTGTCGCATGCGCGTTTCAACAAGAAGGCAGAGAACGGCTTTGACGGGTGACACACTCATACTGCCTGACACGCCCAACCGTCTGCAGCGAACTAAAGTGTATCGTTTTTGCTCTTCTTTCATGGATTTAGCGCTGTGAATCTTATGCAGCTGTCCAAAAATGCTAAGTTAGGCTGCGTTTATACTTTGCGGCAGCGTAGCGTAGCGCTTCCAGCGTACGCCAGCGGCAGTGCCGAAGAGAGGATGCATATCGATCTAGCTTCACCAGCGTCACGCTAGCGTACGCGCGTAGCGAGGGCACGGGAAGCATAGCTATCGATCTAGCTTCACCAGCGTTTCTCGAGCGTTTCTCCAGCGGCACCAGCGTTTTGCTAGCGCTTGCAGCGGCAGGGAGTAGAGACTATGTGGCCGTGAGAGACGCGGAATCGACGTGTATTGTAGAGACCATGTGGCCGTCGGAGACGCAGAAGCGATGTGCATTGTAGAGACTATGTGGCCGTCGGAGACGCAGAAGCGATGTGCATTGTAGAGACTATGTGGCCGTCGGAGACGCAGAAGCGATGTGCATTGTAGAGACTATGAATGGGGCGAGTGAGAGACGCGCAATCGATGTGTTTTGTACCCTCCAGCTCTCCCATAGTCTCTACTCCCCTGCCGCTGCAAACGCTAGCAAAACGCTGGTGAAACGCTGGTGAAACGTACACTAGCGTGCCGCTAGCGTACGCCAGCGTGCCGCTGGTGACGCTGCGTCGTAAGCGTGGAATCGATATGCTACTCCATCTGCGTTCGGCCACCTGCCGCTGGCGTATCGTGGAGAGCGCTGCGCTTACGCCGGCGTGAGCGGGGGCGTACGGGGGGCGGGCCGCAAAGGGTGAGATGAGCGGGGGAGACGCAGCCTTTATGAGCAAAAGTAAAATCGGTCGCGAACTTGCATCTCCCGCTTACCAGGCGGTTGCGTTATCCAGTACGCTACCAGTATCGCTCGTACCCTCTTACTCATCGCGTTAGACGTGCTGAGTGCTGGAAGGCAGCGGTCCAAAAAGCCATTAGCTGAAAGTGTAGGAGCACCCCGAATGGAAACGCAACCGCCCGGTAAGCGGGGAATGCGGGCTCGAGTCCTGTCTGGGGTTTGATTTTGCCCACAACTCAGTATTCTGGTAGAAACATTCGATGCCCGCACTGCGGGGTTCAACAGGAGTTATCACACTTGAACGCTTTGAAACATTGTCGTAATCATGTAATGACCATTTGCAGAATATATGCGAGAATGGGCGGACGAGAAAGTTACAGATCGTTGCTTTGACAGCTCTCATTCACGGGGTAAAATTTGCTTCATATGCTGTGACATTCGTTTCTGATTTTCATCTTTATAGATCTTCGAACATTTACTAAGTACTGATTTGCTGGTTTCGTCATCTCTTCCTCCAAACGCTCCTCCTCAATCATTGGCTCAAGTGAGTTGTAATTGGCTGACAATCGTCTTTGTTTTGAGAAAACATCATTTGGCTTAAATGTCGTTTCAGTTGTGCATTATGTTCAAAATACTATGAATAGCGGAATGAATAATTACAATATGAACGATATACAACAGAACCGAATCTTTTTTAGGTAGGAGTTAACATTTCATACATGGCTCTTCGCGCAGTCGACTGCCTTTGGAATGGTTTTATTGTTGGTGAACCTCTAAGATTGCTACAACTTTTGTACAGTGTGTATTCTATTGCTAGTCGAAAAGAGAATAAGGTTAGCGTGACTACTCTCTCATTAATCCTCCTCGTTTACACTGGAACTTTCATACAGGAAATCAATTTGGATAGTCTAACGTCGTCTATTATGCGCTGTGTGCTGTATATTTTGAGCCGGCCAATTGAAAATGTCCAGGGTGAGACACTTTTCCTGTTGTGGCACAACCTTCTTGATATAGTGCGAGTACCTCGATAGAGGGGCAAATATTACCTCCAAGTCGTGAAACTACTCGGTTTTCTAGCCAGTTGACGTTAAAGGCACAGACAGAGACATTTGACACGCTGCAGCGCTGCGTTGTTGAGTGGATTTGGTCTTAGGGCGAATCTTACGAGGATCACCTCGCTCGCTCCGCCCCTTATGTCGCTCTGGTCGCCACTCGAAATTAACTCTCTGTCTATAATAAGCAAAAAAGGAGGTGCTCGGCGACCTCACAACCTATTGTTGTGCTTTATGAAGTTTCCTGAGCCACGTGTTTGTAGGCCATATGTGAGTTGCAGTCCCCTCTCCCGCCTATCCCAAATTTAATGTAGCCAGAATTTCAAGCGCTAAGTGACTGAATTCAAATCCTAAACCAAATTACCTATAAATTTATCAGAGCGGACTTATGAGCGATGCCATTCATTCTGGTTATTCTAAAACTCGTGTAGGGGAACCATGGAGTGATTAGCATTAATAGTTTCTTTTGAAAGCACGCATCCCCTTTCGAATGTGGTTCATGTAGTTACTTGAACGCGCATCTGATCTTAAGAACCTCGCCGGGGATTGCATACTCGGACTGTGTGGCTTATAGAGTCTCATAATGAAGAGAAACTCTACACAAACCTCCAATGACGGTCGTTTCCATTTGCAATGTGGATGGGTCCGCAGCTACAGTAGCCTGCCACTTCTTCCGCTGAAATATACTCGGAGAACTGGGCTGGAGAGAAGTGATATTCAGTGCCGTTTTCATACTCCGCCCGTGCTGTCCTCAAGATGCAGCACACGCGTCGATACCACAGTGTAGCGCACACTTAGCCGTAGAGAACAACTAGAAGTAAAAGGCTTCAGACGCAACGCTACTCTCCTGCCCGTTCCCATGCACTTTTGAGCGGAAAAATGGTACGTTACAGCAGCTGTGTACCCATACACCTCACACATGGGCGACCGGAATCCACGGAGGTCAGTGTAGAGTTTGCCTTTAAGGAGGTGTCCAGCACTGTTCACCACCTTTGCATCGCATTGCAGCACCAGACCCAGAGAGCTGAAGTCCGCATCCTTGGTCTGAACATGTGTTGAAGGCTTTTGAGCGCGTGTGGATGGAGGGGGCGTCCCTCACCATATTGGGTCTTGCTATTAACCAATTAGATTATTAGAATGAGCTGTTTAGCTGATTTATTAATGCGGCCTTGCCAGCCATCTTATCCAATGGGTGGCCTCTTCTGCTTGATTTTTGTTTACTAACATGCTGATATTCCCAACAGCGTTTTCAAGAAGCCTAATGGTGCAAAACTTTTTGCAGTCTTTAGTTTTCATTTGACCTTTTCCATTGCAGTGCAAATGTCCGTGTTAGACACCCTCTCCTCAGTTGTGACAAAGCGTTATATTTTCCTCTCGTCAAACGAAAGTTGGTTCTTCACATCTCTCACTCATCTAGTCTTCATGCTGAGCGTAACACCGGACATAATGCAGCAAGACAACGCACCTCTCGAAAAAGCTAGTGCTCAGGCAAGTGTGATCTCTGTAACATTTGGACTGCATTATATTTTTTGGGCCAAAAAACCTTTGCATTCTTTCTATGACCTTTCACGATTCAAAGAAGAACATGCTGACTGGTCGTCTAGAGATCGTTTTACACATCCATAGTATTTTACATGCTCCAGGTTGCTGTGTGCGCTTCCCGCGTGTGGACAGATGTAATCTCTTCCAAGAAGGCATTGCTTGAAGAGGCTTTCAAGAAGCCTACCGTTTGGTATGTGTGGCGGCCTCGTGAAATTTTTCCCTTTAGAAGTTCAAACATTGAATGATACCTTACGCGATTTGAAAAATGAATGTTTTCAGTGAACTGAATGCTGCAAGAGCTCTCCTAGCCAATGTAGCAGGTCAGCACTGGCATCAATTTGTTGACAGTCAACTGTCTGGTACATATCAGAATCACACGATCTCAAGGGACATTCAGACTCAAATTAGTTCGGTTAGTAATTTTGAACTTTAAGATTTATTGTGCCGCAAGACTTTTTGTCACAATCCTTCTGTGCACATTTTCTTCCACTAAGGCTGAAAAGGTAGTTACTGAAATTTGCAGAAAATTACCCGAGTTGCATCTGGTCTACAGAAACTGTCAATGGCAAGTAGGCGAACCTTGAGCTCCCATGGCAGTGTGACATCGGTATTGCCTTGGAAGAATGTCAGCGTCGATAAAGAGGTGAGAGAATTTTGGGGCGCTTATACAGACCTGAAGCCGCAAAGCTCAGTTAGGGACAATCTTAGTTGTAAAAGGTTGGATGAACAGTCCTGCGACACTTCGAAAATTTCATTTTACATCCGCTCCACTGACAAGGGAGGTCGTTCAGGGCGTGGTGAGCTTTTTCAAAATGGTCTTGTGCATATTGTAGGGGCACATACGAGGACCAGAAAACTGAGGTTCGTTTTCGCTGCGCGCTTCTACGAAAAAAAAACGTAAAAAATAGGTCGATGGTTCGGATCCCACCGAGGACAAAATTTTGCTTTTCTACAATTTTTCATTTTTTGGATCCATGTTTGTCTAAATAATTGGTCCTAATAAAACATTCACGATGAACTGAACAATCCACTTTTAATGGACAAAACTGCTGTTTTTTCTGTTCGAAGTTTCGTTAGGTGTAGCACAGACTCAGCTCTTCGGCACTAATGCCTTGTGCCAGGATGGCACGTTGGAACCGAAAATAAAGTCTAGAATCGTGATCATGACTGTCGATTACCCCTAGGAGCAAGTTTTGAGCGAAAAATTTTTTTGACTTTTTCGGGTTGTAGGTGGCCGACCATTTGGTCGGCAGTGTGAGCGGAGTTTCACATCTTCGTAACAGCGATGACGTATCGTTGACGCTACGGACACTGGACAACCCAATAAGCAAACCCAAGAAGGTCAAAACAATTCTTTTGACTGAAAATTTGTTTTTAGTGGTAATCAGTGGCCCTGATCACAAACATAACATCCTGTTCTTGGCGTCCACGCAATTTGGCGACAGATAGCCGTGATGAACCTTCCCTGTTATTGTTGTACATAGACGAATTCATGGATGAAGAAGTAGAGTGTGCGACCCCCAAACTGTCTATAATTGACACCACATCAGAAGTTACTAAATTCGCAATCAGATCCACTGTATAGCCTATGAGGAACAACGTCCAGCTACAATCTTGTTCAATGATGCGTGAAAATTGAAATAGTTGGGTAGCACTGACTCATTTGAGTTAAGGACTCAGGAATTGCCATAAAATGGGCCCAAATATCCCAAATATCCGAGTTATATTCATGCGCAGACGCAAATGGAAGCGAGAACAGCGAAATCTAAAAAATGCAAAAAGCCACGACGCAAGGGGAGCCGAACCATCAACCCACCATCGTGTCCGATTGCGTAACCTTCACTCTATCCGCGAGGCCATCCGATGCTCGACTATGCTAGCACTCTTATCGTTGATGAAACCATTGCAAGAAGCCGTTCACCCTTGAGCACATGACCCAAGTTGGAAGCTCACTTACGGCGATTTTTCGCTTCGATTCAAACGGCCCCTTTATAAGGACCCCCACTCAGCAACTGGTCAAAGTTGCAAGTGACCTACGCCGCATAGAGGCCCAGAACGAAGCAGATTCCACAGATTTCTTTTCACTCGTTTTTTACCTTTCCTGGAAGCGCGCAGCGAAAATGAAGCACACTTTTCAGGTCCTTGCATGAGCCCCCACAATATGCAAAAAACCGTTTTCCGAAAAGCGCACCACGCCCTGAACGACCCTCCCTTGTGAACGAGCTCTTCAGCGAGGTTGTGACCTTATTATCTCGAACATCCATCCATCTGACGGAAACTTCTATTTTGCTATCGAAATTTCGCTTGCTGCTGGGGTGAGAAGATGAATGGTGACGTCGATCTTTATTAAGAAATGACCTCGATCACCCAATTTTTTCAATTTTTTCTAGGATGCATTGATGTCCTGAAAAAAAAAACATACAAAGAAATGGTAGTGAGAAGCTGCGCGATAAATTTAGTGAATACACTGTTTATGGCAAGCCAAGCTCTGACAGGACTTCTTCAACATATGCTGGCGCGCATCGTCGTGAAGTAGAACTGACAACGGCTGCCTGCTCATATGTTGATAGTCATCGGAGTTGGGCATCTCTTTTGGTCCAGCTGTGATTTCATCTGGTAACACAGTCTATATCTCTTTGTGAAGGTCTTTGAATGCTGCTTCCCTTTTGAGGACTCTAATGTTACGGTCGGTTTACGTGAACCTCTTAAATCTCACTGTCACGACATCCCATAAAAAGTTCTTCTGTGGAGGGTGAAGAGAGGGGTTAGTTACCTTGGAGGATGGTCCCTTGCATTAGTGACCTGTATGGATCCGCAGCTGCTGCCACTTTCTCTGCTCCAAAATGCACGAGAATGTGACTATGGGGTACTGGCACGACTGCCGTCTCTATTTTCGGCCCGCGCTATGCTCGAACTGCAGGACCTGTGTAGATACCAAAGTCGCGCAGCTAAACACATCAGCGGTAAAAAACACCCAGAAGTGGGAGAGCGTAGACAAGTAGTGCATTCTACTATGGTTGGGCGTGTGGTAGGCTATGCGGCAACTCTCGGAGGAACAGTTTTTTAATGGCGATCTTGAAAATGTTAGCTATCGAATACAAGCAGGACCAAAGTTAAGACTATAATTTGAAGGGGCTGCGTTTTGCTGCGCTTCCGAGTTGTTGAGCAAACTACTCTTTCGAAGTGTCGCAGGATGCTTCATCCAAATCACTAGTTTCGAATGTTATGAAAGAATTGGTCGTAGCACAAGCAACACGATATCATGAGTGGCACGCACACGCTAAGAAATGGGCTCTACATGAGTGGCATCAGCTGGAAGCGGAGCTCACTCGGGAACGCGGTATATGGGGACCTGAAAAGGTGAGGGTTTGCTCAGTTCCCATCATAACCTCGCTGGGCTTGATTGAATCATTTCTGTAGCCATCTTCCAGAGCAAGGGATACGACGTTTTCTCTGATTTTCCACCTTTTGCGATTTATTTAGTGTTATCTTGCAGAAATTTTTCCATTTTGTTGTTTTCCTCTAACAGGTTGTGGTATTTCAGGCGTCGGTGTTAGATAAGTATAAGCTGGATACGACAGAAGGTCCATCGCGTACACGCCGCAAGATGATACCTAATCGTTTCTTCTACCATGCATTCCCATATCGTCCTCACTTGGATGAACCGAGCGCGGTATGTGAAAACTAAAAACTACGGATGTCATTGTTGTAACAAGGCCGCCCGGGCTGCTCTCCAGTACATATCGCATCACAAGCCTTATCGTTTGTAGGGATCATTGTATATATCATTTTCACTTTGAATTCACTTTTTATTTTCATTTCCAACCATATTCACCAATTTTCAAACCAAATTCACCACTTTTCAAAGCAAATTCACCACTTTTCAAACCAAATTCACCACTTTTCAAACCAAATTCACCACTTTTCAAACCAAATTCACCACTTTTCAAATCAAATTCACCACTCTTTTTAGAGCAGTTCACCAACCAGATCACGCCAGACACCACTGCGAGCCCCGCCCCGACGGCCACGCCTACTTGTCAGCGCGGACATAGATTTTCAACACATGGCCGACTCCGCCCACTTTAAAGGGTTTGTTGCGAACTTCGAAATTTCATAACTTTTTCAACTTTGATTTCACATCCACTCTTTGCACAACGAAGATACTCGTACCCGCGCATTTAATGCACTGGCAATTTATTCTCTACTCCCTAGCGACACCTATCTGCTTTTCGCGGAATTTTAATATTTTTTTTGTATTTCTTGTATTTTTGGGCTGCTCCATGAAGCCCCGCCCACCGTGAGAGGCTCCGCCCACTTTCAAAGAAGCCCCGCCCACTTTTCAAAAATGGTGCAAATCGGCAGTATAGAGTCTTGGCTTGCATGCTAGGGTCTCGTCCGTCACTCGGAACAAACAAATCAGGCAAAGCAAAGATTAGATGTGAAATTATAAAGTTGAAAAAGTTGTGAAATTTCGAAGTTCGCAACAAACCCTTCCAAAGAATGGGCGGAGTCGGCCATGTGTCGATGTGTTGAAAATCTGCCATGTGTCGATGTGTTGAAAATCTATGTCCGCGCTGACAAGTAGGCGTGGCCGTGGGCGGGGCTCGCAGTGGTGTCTGGCGTGATCTGGTTGGTGAACTGCCCGGTCTAAAAAGAGTGGTGAATTTGGTTTGAAAAGTGGTGAATTTGGTTTGAAAAGTGGTGAATTCAAAGTGAAAATGGTATATGTCCAGTTGACTCAAAGATGTTCAGAAGGCCATGCGTGCAAAAGTGGCAATATCTCGAGACAGTGAGCTGTATTATAATTCATGTCGGAAGCGACGTGGACGAATAATGGATTCCCGGATAATCGACTATTCCGTTACAATCTCAACTCCATCAGAGGAAAAGCCTGCGTTCACTTTCTGTGATTTAGCGCGTACGTTTTCATAATAGATTCCAGCATATCCTTTTATTTGACCTCAAATTCGACGACTGAGATTGAGAGTGAGGAATTTTTACACCCCTTTCTTGTTTCGATTGTTCGGACACACTGAGATTTCTGATTTTCGATTGCGATAGCATGTGACAGTCTTTGATTGCGCTTACAGAAATCAATTCGTCCCTCATCCGTCGGCTGTCGGTTCGACCTCATATAGAAACTCTTCCATGTCCATCTATCGAAGATAATGGTAAAGAGAACGAAAACGGCGATGAGAATGGAGCAAAGGTAGGGTCTTTTGTTGTTTTCGAGAGACCTCCATGCTTTACAACTTGGCTTCTCATTGTTTCAGACCAAGTAATTTTGGAACCTTCAATTATAGGAACCATCGGTAGAACTTGAAGAAGAACAACAGGACGAGTCATCGGCAAGTGAGAAGCCGATGTCAGAAAGTCGTGAAGAAGTGAAGGAGGAGGAGAAGAAGGATAATGAAAACAGGAAAAAGCGCGGTCCAGATAATCAGACACTGCTGCGGTTATTGGAGCAAGGCGAACAGCTTCATAGCATGTTTCGTTGCGCTAGGATCCAGGTAAATACATAAATTGGCTTGGAACTTACGTACACATGTCTAATGTGCTAATTTCAGGGACTTGAGACTTCTGAAGGGTTGCTGCTTTTTGGAAGAGAGCATTATTATGTCGTTGACGGCTTTACTCTCTTGAAAACCCGAGAGATACGTGATCTGGACTTTTTAAGCTCAGAGTGGGTCATTTTCTGAGTCACCAATTGTTATGAAATGTTTCTCTCCAGTCCGCTTTATCAGTTTCAAATTTCGTATTGTGTGTTTGTGTTCTCCTCGTAAAATGTGTTTCCTAAGAAGAGATCTTCTAGACTTCATGATCCAATCGTCCCATACACAGCTACTGGTGCAACACATCCACCTCGATCATCACGCCTTTGCAGCAAGTTCAGCTATGAGGATATCAGAGAGGTCCACAAAAGAAGGTCAGATTTTCAGAGCGAACTTCCAACGTGGTTGTCTCCTTTTGAGTGTTAGGAGTGGCTGGTAGGATTCCTTTAGAGGAATCCTGTGATGTGGGTATACGGGATTTCTTGGGATTATCGGTAGTGGTGTATTATTTACACTGACTTGTAAATCGGCTGCCCACGTGAAGCACTGTAGGCCACATCGCTTGGTCAAAGGCGGAACATCATCCTTTACTTTTATCTGAGGTGACCGAGGTTGTAGAAATCCTGTACCTCCTATTCGATCTTTGGATCAATTACACAGCCTTCGAAAAAGTCCCCACCTAGCTCTTCCTTTCTCAGGCTCTATTTACTTCCTATATTCGCCTTTGTCCACTGTCTTACAGAAGCAATTGGGATTCCTTCAGTGCTGCATACTACAGTGAAAAGCATCTGTTATAGGTATCTCCTCCAGCCCATCGCTTTAGAAGTGTTCAGTGCTGACGGCCGAAATTACCTGCTGGCGTTCCCGAAGAAGATGAGGGATCGAGTGTACGAGAAGTAAGTTGTCTTACTGAAGCGTTCTGAGTTTCACCGTGAAAATTAATTTTAATAGGCTTCTATCAATGGCGAAGGGGTTGACGGCTGGCGGCACAGACTCCGTCGGTGGTCAGAAGGCAACAATGGCAATTGAACAAAGTGGGAGAGCATCACTGCTGAATTCAATTATTGGTGAGTCCCTCTACTAAAGTCTATTACGAGATGGTTACAAAACAGCCGTGGTGCTAGTTTAGTGGATTCCCCTGTATCTCTTTACTGCATCTCTGCCACATACAAGACGTAGTTATACGTAATCTTTCACTGCGAGCTCTTATTCCGAACATCAGGTGAATACTGTGGAAACTTGGGGGTGGTTAAATGCTCAGGATAATCAGTCTGAAAGCCTGAATTCGAGCAGTCGAAGATTCCTTCGGTGCTGGGCTGGTTATCAGTGGACGTGTTCAAATATTCCCGAGATCATTCATGGGAGTCGAAAGTCTGTGAGGGAAAAGTAATGTGGACCGCTGTAATGTGGACAATCGTACTAGTTTTCCATCAAACGCTGTAAGCGGCGGGCGCTAGGGCGCTAGGCTGTCAAAGTATTAGGTTGTCCGGAAAGTTCTCAGCGTTTTGTGTTACTATTTTTTGTACATTCATTGCTGATTAAAAACTCACTCTCCCTTGCGTCTCAGTAGTACATCCTGAAGAGAATTTTTTGCGCTATCTGATGGTATAATTGCCGTTTCACCATTGCTTGATAAACCCCCTTTTCCCAAGACTTTTTGAAGCATGTCAAAAGAGCAACTTCGGACGATATTTTTCTTCAACTACAAATTGGGTCAATCCGCAGTCGAGACAGCTCGACAAATTAACCAGGTGTGGGGGCCCAATAGTGTTGGAGAAAGCACCGTGCGACAATGGTTCGACAAATTTCGTTCTGGAGATTTCAGCCTTGAAGATGAACCTCGTAGCGGTCGACCTAAAGCAATACCTGACGAGGATTTGAAGGCGTTTGTGGAGGCTGACCCATCCCAAACAGTTCGAGAGATTGCAGAAAAGCTAGGCGTTGGCAAATCCACTGTTGCGGATGGTCTGAAACGCATTGGGAAGGTGAAAAAACTCGACAAGTGGGTGCCCCACAATTTGAGTGACCGGCAGAAATTGGCACGTCTCGAGGTTTCTTCTTCACTGCTTTTGCGCAACAGAAACGACCCGTTTTTGGACCGAATTGTCACCTGTGATGAAAAATGGATCATGTATGATAACAGGAGACGTTCCGGACAGTGGTTGGATTCCGACGAACCACCGAGGCAAGCCGAACCCTCACGAAAAAAAGATTCTGGTCACGGCTTGGTGGTCATCGGCTGGTGTGATCCACTATAACTTTTTATCACCAGGCCAAACCATCACAGCAGAACCCTAGAAGGAATCGACGAAATGTACCGAAAATTGCGTCAGCTGCAGCCAGCACTTGTCAACAGAAAGGGTCCGATTCTTTTGCATGACAACGCCCGCCCACACGTTTCACAAATCACTATCCATAAATTGAACGAATTGGGGGTTGAAGTTCTACCTCACCCGCCATATTCTCCAGACCTTTCACCAACCGACTATCACCTTTTCAAACATTTTCAGAACTTCCTTGCTGGAAAATACTTCATCAATCAGGACCAGGCAAAAAAAGCCTTCGTGGATTTCGTGGATTCTCGACCACCCAGTTTTTCTTTGATGGGATTTATCGACTGTGTCACATTGGCAAAAGTGTGCTGATTCGAATGGTGCTTATTTCGATTAAATCCGATGAGTATTAAGAAAGTTATGATCGTTTAAAGTGAAACACTCAAAACGCTGAGAACTTTCCGGACAACCTAATAACTCCACCTAGGAGACAATGTAGAAATTGAGAAATCTTCTGGTCACTGCAATACTTTGGCTGGAGAGTTAGAACTTTGCCATTTTGTCGCTTTCTCAGCGTCAGGGTAGAGTCTCAATCGTATTTGATATGTACGAAACTTGACAAACTTCACTTCTCGACAAATCAAGATAATGAGCAAAATTAATTTTGATAAATTATAGTATTGCAAAAAAGTATGCTAATTTTAATCTATAAACACCACCTTACATCATTGAGTAAGGTTAACGTGAAAATTGAGTGATGATAAAAGTCATTAAACTAAGCTCGAATGATAACAAGTCTTATCATGTACACACAGTAACACTCTTCATTTATTCAACAAACAGGCTAAGATGCGGTCAAACCAAGTGGAGTAAGTTGTTTTATAGTTCAATAATAAACTAAATACTTAATCAAGAGAAGACTAGTGTAAACCAATATCTCTGTTGGTTTATACTAGATCAAATTTGTGAAATTGTAAAATTATAAACACCAAAATTTCAATACTTTCTCTCGAAAACTGAAGGTAAGTAATAGAATAGAACAACGAAAATATTTTCATAACAAACACTTGTTTTTGATTAAATAATCAACTCTTCTAAAAAGCATGGAACTTTCCTTCTTCCCTTACTGAAGAGCACAGAGAAGGAAGATTGGTCTCGTTCAGTTTCCGTCTAAGGGCACGTGCGAAACGGAAACTGAACTACTTCTTTGAATCGACCCCCCTCAAATGATTTAGCTAAAATGAATAAATGAATAAAGTTCAGATACCGTGTGAGAAGTTTTCAAGCTTTATAGGCAGATATGTCCTCAGATTTCTTTAAGTACCATCTTTTTAGTTTTATTTTATCTTTTATTCTTTTGGCACAGTCAGGCGTAGAGACTAAATCGTTTTGATATGTACGAACTTTGATAATTTGATATACGAGGCGGAGGTGGTGTAGTGACAAGTGGCGCTCACCACTCGCGCGGCGCCGGGTTCAAATCCCGGGTCGACTCCCGCCCAGGCCAACCAAGCCTTCTACCCTCCGGGGACGGTAAATTGGTACCAGATTCGTCTGGGAGGATAAAACACTGACTTGTACATCGGCTGGCCACCGCAAGTCATTGTATAGGCCACATCGCATTCAATAAGCCACTACGATTCTGAATGGAAGTAGAATGCGTGCCGCATCCCACAGAGATCTACGGCGAAGACTTTATCCTTTATCCTAATTATGTACGAACTGATGCCGAGGTCTGTCTCCCAGGTAGAAGTCGCATAAAGGCAGTTGGCACGATAAGTCTCTAAGACGAGTAGGACTAATACGCCTGGCAGGATGGAATTCCGCTCCCCTGAGCAGGCGCCTTTTCCAAGGAAGGTACCCTTATAAGGCCCTATCAAGCTGCAACATACCGACCCGGACGCCCACCGCCCGCCCGCCCACAAATGGACGACCGTACCTGATGCTCGTATCTTCATTTGCGAAGTAAAATATGAAGCGAAGGGATTGTATGAAGCGGCCGCGGTGCTGCATGGATATATGAGTGCATACGTGCAGCCGTATCTACCGTAGCGGTCATTGCTGAGATGCCTACGGGAAACTCGTCCAGAATTGGGTCACTGGGGTCCTTAAGAACGAATGCTTTTTTCGCAAATTTTGACCGTTTCACTCCATTTCTCGCCATTTTCCCCATTTATA